CTTTGGAAAGGACAGCTAAGACGACGAATGTTACCTATAATAACAAGAAAATTATATATATATTTTTTTGTTATTTTCCTATCTTACCAGGAAAGACTTCATCTTGGCTTCAAGCGGTGGTCAATGCTTGAGTGATGTCCGTGTTGAACACATCGGGTGTTTTTATACCCACATGGTGGGGGAGAACGTACTGTTCCCCATATTCGCTCTAATTTGATTGGGTTAAAGCGGATGTAAAAATAAAAATGTTTTCGCTAGAGGTACTTTTGTGGTATGAATATTTAATTTTTGTAATTTGTACACGATTTGTTTAATCGGAACGAAAATGAAATAATTTTAGGATCATCAAGAGTTACATCAATACTTCAATGATTAAGTAACTTTCTTTAATTCTCATTTTTAATAAATTGTTTAAAGAATGTTTTTCGAATACGAAGGTGCCAAATATTAATAATAAAAACTTTCCCACTTCACAGTCTGATGAATCTGTAATATGTTGCTATTTACCATTATTCTTGATGTCTAGTTTTGTTGTTTTTATGAATAAAATAATTGAATCTTATTCTGTTATCTAAAGTTTTATAAGGTGTCTAACAGAAGTGTGTAATCAGGGTTATATGTTATCATTTATATAGTTTTGCAAGATTTATATACAATTAACAACATTTTCTTTCTTGAATTAATTATTATAAGTTATATCAACTAGCTTATAATAATACACTTTAATATACTTTACATATTTTAAATGTAAAGTATTTGACCTAACTCTTCTATTATTCATTAATGACTTTATTGCGATTATAAAGTTACCATCTTGAAAATTGTGAGACAAGTTATCATGTGGTTTGAAAATATTGTTATAATATTTATTTGCCTATTATTTGAAAATATTTCTTAAAGTTTGGTAATAGTAACATTTTAAAATCATATCTACCTATTTGCTGGAGCCATTTAAATATTCAATAATAAATACATGCGGCACTTTTCCCTCACCATGCGGAGGTATAAAAACCGCCGGAATCTTCAACACAGGCATCACTCAAGCATTCACCACCGCTTGAAGCCAAGATGAAGTATTTCCTGGTATGATAGGATACCACAGCCAAAAAGGGAGGGAATAAAATCATTTTCGTTTTTTATAGATTACCTTTGTCGTCTTAGCTGTCCTTTCCCAAGGTCATTGCGAAGGTTCCAAAAAGAAAAATGAGAAACGTGGCATCATCGATAGTGGATACGGGGGAGGATTTGGAGGAGGACTAGGAGGACATGGGGGAAGCTTTGGAGGCGGAAGCGGTGGATTTGGAGGTGGACATGGGGGTGGTTTGGGAGGTGGAATTGGAGGTGGAGGATTCGGTGGTGGATTTGGAGGAGGAGCTGGTGGTGGATTCGGAGGAGGAGTAGGAGGTGGAGTTGGCGGCGGATTCGGCGGAGGAGCTGGTGGTGGATTCGGCGGAGGAGCTGGAGGTGGCGCCGGAGGTGGAGCTACAATCAGCACTGTTACAAGCACCGTCAATGTACCAGTACCAGTTCCCCAACCTTACACAGTCACTCGTACCGTACCCGTTCCTGTACAAGTTCCAGTTCAAGTAGCAGTTCCACGACCAGTACAAGTACCAGTCCCAGTTCCACAACCCGTTGTTGTACCACGCCCAGTACCAGTCACCGTAACCAGAACTGTCCAAGTTCCAGTACCAACACCAGTTCAAGTACCAGTCCAAGTTCCAGTTCAAGTACCTGTTCCTCAACCTTATCCAGTTACCGTTCCACAACCGGTCCCAGTTAGGGTACCAAACACCGTTGTTATACCAGTACCACAACCTATTTTCGTCGGAGGAGGTGGTGGAGCTGGAGGTGGTTTCGGAGGTGGTGCTGGAGGCGGTTTCGGAGGTGGATTGGGAGGCGGATTTGGAGGAGGATTAGGAGGTGGTTTAGGAGGTGGATTGGGAGGTGGATTAGGAGGTGGTTTAGGAGGAGGATTCGGAGGTGGTCATGGAGGATTAGGAGGAGGACTTGGAGGTGAATTAGGTGGAGGACATGGAGGAATTGGAGGAGGACTTGGTGGAGGTGATGGTGCATTCGGAGCTGGATCCATCGGACATGGAGGTGGAGCATCCAGCTTTTCTACCATCTCCTTTGGAAAACATTAAACTGCTAAATTATTTACCCACCTTTAAAACCAAAAATAAAATTGAATGTCTTGCTGTGATATTAAATAAAATTAAAAAAAAAGGAAATTAAACAATCTAATCTTTATTTATATCCTTAAGTCTTATATAAATTTTTATGTATGTATGTACAGAAATATAAAATACATGCAGTGAAACGCTTTCAATATTGCTTTGATTTTGCAAGCTTTTAGTTCTAAGCTTTGACGAACGTAGTAGGTACGAACAAGCCACAGTGATGATGTGGAAAATGTGTATTCCAATTCTGATTGTTATTTCAAAAATTTATTGCAATAATCTTCTTATTAAATTTAGTTGATAGAGAAAACGAGCTATTATGCAATGACCCTTAAAATACACTATAAAGCTATAGCTACAGATTTCTGGATTCAGTCTCAAGTAAAGTCAAAGAAGAGTTTTGTAAAATCTGCACAGAGAGAGGAGTCCGAAACACAATCTCTTGATGTAATTGAAAAGAGACGAAGCTAACTCTAGCATTTTATAGTATAAAAGTTTTATAATTGAAATGCAAATGATCTAAAGCTCTGCTGAAGGCGGCAATGAAATTGGACGTTTTGTTATTGCAGGTGATTTAAGTGTGTCATGGTACGGATGAAGAACTGAGACTGGAAATGGGATGTATCTTGTTTTTCTTTGTGGCTAAAGAATTCTGTGTTTCTGATAGTGAAGTTGGACACCATTAAATCCATCAGTGTGTGTATTTCAGAAGTATGGTATTGGGAATGACCACTACATAATTTTTCACATTAGGCTTAGGATCAAGCTCTTGGCTTAGTTTTAAGTTTAAACCAAATGAGTTTATCTCACATATTGCCATTCTGTGTTCTTTTCAGTGTTGTTATTCTTAACACATATATGAAGAAACCTTATTCCCAAAGAGTCTCTATATTCTGATCAAGGAGATATTTTTTTACTTCAGATTATGTGGAGTTCGTCGATTGGTAGTAAATGTTGATGAGATACCTAAATAAAAGTTGTGGCAATGCATTTTGATTTCAAATTAAAAAACACTACAAATTTTAATTAATTTACAAATTTATTTGAAATTATGACACTAGAAAATATTTAAGTTAAGTCGGATTGGTTGTGATTCAGAGTTTAATACCATGAACTTTGATATCCAAAATAGATTACAGTAGAAGATAAATATGCAGATGTTTTAAATATTCAAACAATAATTTTTAATGACAAATGTTTAGAGTTAGATTTATTTTCCAAATAAAGATGATAAGAAGATTGAGGCAATCAACATTAAAGGTAATAATTTGACTAGAAAATCATATATTCTCCATGGCTCCAAAGACTTCTTGTCCGGAAGTTAATATTTAATCTTCATGCAAAAAGCAATAAAAAATAGTTGCTTTCATATTCTTAGAGAAGTGAAGGGTTAAAAAAAGATTAAATTATATAGTTTTGTTTTTATTTAAATTTCCATGGTAAACAAAAAGTTATCACAGCAAGACATTCATTTTTATTTTTGGTTTTAAAGGTGGTTAAATAATTTAGTAACTTAGTGTTTTCCAAACGAAACGCTAGAAAAGCTGGATGCTCCACCTCCATGTCCGATGGAACCACCTCCGAATCCTCCTCCTAATCCACCATGTCCTCCACCTAATCCACCTCCAAGTCCTCCTCCTAATCCTCCATGTCCACCTCCTAATCCACCTCCAAGTCCACCTCCTAATCCTCCATGACCACCTCCAAATCCTCCTCCTAAACCACCTCCTGATCCTCCATGACCACCTCCCAATCCACCACCTAATCCTCCTCCAAATCCACCTCCGAAACCACCTCCAGCACCACCTCCGAAACCACCGCCGGCTCCACCTCCGAAACCACCTCCGGCTCCACCTCCGAAACCTCCTCCAGCTCCGCCTCCGGCTCCACCACCTCCTCCAACGAAGATCGGTTGTGGTACTGGTATAACAACGGTGTTTGGTACTCTAACTGGGACGGGTTGTGGAACGGTGACTGTGTAAGGTTGTGGAACAGGTACTTGAACTGGTACTTGGACTGGTACTTGAACTGGTGTTGGTACTGGAACTTGGACAGTTCTGGTTACGGTGACTGGTACTGGGCGTGGTACAACAACGGGTTGTGGAACTGGGACTGGTACTTGCACAGGTCGTGGAACAGCTACTTGAACTGGAACTTGTACAGGGACTGGTACGGTACGGGTGACTGTGTAAGGTTGGGGAACTGGTACTGGTACATTGACGGTGCTGGTAACAGTGCTGACGGTAGCTCCACCTCCAGCGCCACCTCCAGCTCCTCCGCCGAATCCACCACCAGCTCCACCACCAAATCCACCGCCAGCTCCGCCTCCGAATCCACCTCCCGCTCCTCCTCCAAATCCACCGCCAGCTCCTCCTCCAAATCCACCACCGAATCCTCCTCCAATTCCACCTCCTAAACCACCCCCGTGTCCGCCTCCAAATCCTCCTCCCAAGCCACCCCCATGTCCACCTCCAAATCCACCGCTTCCACCACCAAAGCTTCCTCCATGTCCTCCTCCTAGTCCTCCTCCAAATCCTCCACCGTATCCACTATCGATGATGCCACGTTTCTCATTTTTCTTTTTGGCATCTTCGCAATGACCTTTGGAAAGGACAGCTAAGACGACGATTGTAATCTAAATAACAAAATGTTTTTATTCCTTCATCTGTGGTATGTTTAATCCATCTTACCAGGAAAGCCTTCATCTTGGTTTCAAGCGGTGGTTAATGCTTGAGTGATGTCTGTGTTGAAGATACCGGCGGCTTTTATACCTCTGCATGGTGGGGGAGAACGTACTGTTCCTCATGTTCATTGGATTTTTTAAGGAGACTTTCACTATAACGGCGCAATGGCGCATCTCTCTCGGTCGTGGTCAGTCATTATTAGATTGTGAATTAAACATTCTATATTACCATAATAATAGTAGAAATATATTTCAAAATATTCTCTTTCGAGAATGTAACAAATAATAATTTACGTTATGATTAAAACTTTATATGGTAATCTTTAGTAGAGTTATTCGTTTTATGGCTATGGGGTAAAAGAACATAAACCGGCTTTCTTAGTGACTTGGAAGATAATGTATTAATTATGGATAATTATAATAATTTTGTTCATCATCGAATTTACACGCTATCGAAGACTTTTAATATAAATAACTGTTTTATTATTTTAAATCGATTTGTTTTGGACATTTATATCGAGAATTTTTATCGACCAATAATATCTGAAAGAGTTAAGATTTATAGTTAAGATAAGCTTTATTTTTCGTGAGTAAAGAGATATTTAATTTTTTGGTACGTTTTAAAATTACGCACAGAAAGGAACAATTAAGGACTTACAAATCTAGGAAACATTGTCTGTCTAAAAAATGTGTAGGTTAAGCCACCTGCATCTAATCTGGTTATGGTTCTATTACAGATAATAATCGAAATTAGAAAGCACTTTTTTTGGATCTTCCATATGGCTTCCTATTTGAGCAATAACTTCCTGCACTAGTTTCATAATTTTCTCCTCAACTAATCTTGCATAATTTGTTTTGAATGGATTTCGAATCAGATTTGTTGTAGATCTTTATGTACCTAATTTCCTGTCCTGTCTCTCAGCTTCTAATTGCTACTTCCACTTTCTATAAAACATTACATTAACAAATTTTTATTCTCAAAAGATTTTCATTAAAAGTTTATTATGGTATCAAATTATCGATTATTAAATAATAACGTAATTGACACTTTCTATTATTATTTTTTTCATTATGTATCATTATTTAACGCTATATCGATTTATAATACTAAATTTCGAGTTTTCAAGAATTATTTGTGATCATTCATTTTTGTGTATTCTAATATAAATTGTTTAAAGAATTCTAATTGTAAATGGACCCTCTTTTGAGTCATTTCAATTGACTTAATTTTTAAATGGAATATTTATTTTTTTTTATTTTTTATATTTTTTATTTATTTTTATATAGCAATCTGGGTTTATTGTTGTATTTTGTTACATTAAATGTATTTGAGTAAATAAAAGTAAAAAATTTAAGAAGAGGTTTTTTTATTCAATTCACATAATAGACATACAAAAAAATCAACACGTCCTCTAGTGTTCGAAAGAATAAGTTATCACAGCGAGACATTAAGGTTCTTTTTTTGGAAAGGTGATTAAATAGAGGTTAATTTAGTGTTTTCCAAAGGAAACGCTGGAGAAGCTGGATGCTCCACCACCATGTCCAATGGAACCTCCTCCGAATCCTCCCCCGGATCCGCCATGGCCTCCTCCAAATCCTCCACCAAGTCCTCCATGTCCTCCTCCTAATCCACCCCCTAATCCACCTCCCAATCCGCCTCCATGTCCTCCACCTAATCCACCTCCTAATCCTCCTCCGAATCCTCCTCCGAATCCACCTCCGAAACCGCCTCCAGCTCCACCTCCGAAACCACCTCCAGCTCCACCTCCGAATCCACCTCCAGCTCCGCCTCCAGCTCCACCACCTCCTCCAACGAAGATGGGTTGTGGTACTGGAATAACTACGGTGTTTGGTACTCTAACTGGGACTGGTTGTGGAACGGTGACTGGGTAGGGTTGTGGTACAGGTACTTGAACTGGAACTTGGACTGGTACTTGAATAGGTTGTGGTACTGGAACTTGTACAGTTCTGGTTACGGTAACTGGTACAGGGCGTGGTACAACAACAGGTTGTGGGACTGGCACTGGTACTTGTACGGGTCTTGGGACCGCTACTTGAACTGGAACTTGGACTGGGACTGGTACTGTGCGGGTGACAGTGTATGGTTGAGGTACTGGGACTGGTACATTAACAGTACTGGTTACAGTGCTGACTGTAGCACCACCTCCGCCTCCGCCTCCACCTCCAGCTCCTCCGCCAAAACCACCTCCAAATCCGCCTCCAGCTCCTCCACCGAATCCACCTCCGAATCCGCCTCCAGCACCCCCACCGAATCCACCTCCAAATCCACCTCCAAGACCTCCTCCTAAACCACCTCCTAAACCACCTCCATGTCCGCCTCCTAATCCACCGCTTCCGCCTCCAAAACCTCCTCCTCCATGTCCTCCTCCAAGTCCACCTCCATAACCGCTATCGATGATACCGCGTTTTTCATTTTTCTTTTCGGCTTCTTCGCAGCGACCTTTGGAGAGGACAGCTAAGACGACTAATGTAATCTAGGGGTGGAAAAATTGGATTTATTTATTATAAAACTTTTTTGGGATGGGATATAATCTTACCAGGAAAGGCTTCATCTTTGCTTCAAGCGGTGTTCAATGCCTGAGTGATGTCTGTACAGAAGACTCCGGTGACTTATATACTTGCACACGGTGGGGGAGAGCGAGCTGTTCCCTATGTTCATTGGATTTTTTCAAAGAGACTTTCACTACGCCGCTATGGCGCATCTCTCCATCGTTCGAAATGGACGCATCGCCCGCCAGACCGTGTCCATTTACGTGACGTAATCGCGGGTGCTTTGATTTTTCTTCATTACCGAAATTAACGAATTCAACTAACAATTTTAAATATGAAAGTCCAATTGTTACCTAAGACGGGCGTTATTATTCCAGAATTACTATTACAATAATAGGAAATATATAAATTAATATTAAAAGAGTTATTTAAATTACCACAAAAAATAATCTAATCTACATTGTTGTGGGGAGATTTTCATCGACATATTGAAATTAAAAATTTATGCGTTGCGAGGAAAATACTCTCTCTTAAATGAGGAAGAAGAAAAACTTATATAACTTTGCTTTGAATTTGCTTTATACTTATTATATTTCTTAATACATAGATTACGTGGAAAACGTTGCGCTACTTTAATTCTTGTATGTGATATATTACTTCATATCAACCTGAATCATAGACGCAATTTTCAAAAAAATTTTAGTCGTAACCACTTTAATTTAAAAGAAATTATATCTTCCGATCATCACAATAAAACGAAAAAGGTGATGGGCATGGAAGCATAAACGAACGAACACTTGAGCGCTCATCCGGAAGCTCCGCAATCTTTTTAAATCTTGCTTCTACCACATAATCTCGCCGGTAATTCCTGCTCTACAATGTTTCTTAATATCCCGTTCGCGTCCTTCCGTTATAAAGAAAGAAACATAAAATTAAGGGTTTTTGTTTAGTTTGTAATCAACGCATTAAGAAATAACGATATATTATAAATGATGATTTGTACGTTCAGCGTAACTAGGCCATTAAATTCATGTTACGTTCCCTTGAGGAATTAGAAATTATTGAAGCAGAAACTGTAACCACAGCTGCCTACTCTAAAGGCGTTAAAAAGACAATTTTAAACTTATTTAACGTTATTTATTACACATTTAAAAAATATAAAGACACATGCGTTATTAAGAAAAAATCATTCTTCTTTTTTTAATGTGATCCATATCCTCCTCCTACTCCTCCATGTGTAATATGTACAGGTTGAGGTACTGGCACCACAACCGGATGTGGTACTCTAACCGGAACTGGTTGTGGTACACTCACAGGGTAAGGTTGTGGTACTGGTACATGAACGGGTACTTGAACAGGTACATGAACAGGTTGTGGTACTGGTACTGGTACAGTTCTCGTTACTGGTACAGGAACTGGTCTTGGTACATCCACAGGTTGTGGTACAGGGATAGGTACTTGAACTGGGCGCGGTACTGGGACGTGAACTGGGTAGGGTTGAGGAACTGGGAAGGTTCTTGTTACGGTGTAAGGTTGTGGAACTGGAACTGGAACGTGGACTGTTTGAGTAACTGTGTTTAAAGTTGCTCCTAATATAGAAATGATAATTAGATTTTGAGAATTAAAATTTTCTTTTTACATACCATGCCCATATCCTCCTGTACTTCCCCCACCATATCCTCCACTACTTCCCCCACCATATCCTCCAGCTGCTAAACCATATCCTCCGGTGTTTCCACCATATCCTCCAGCATAACTGCCACCATATCCTCCACTATATCCTCCAGAATATGTTCCCGAAGATGCTGTTCCAAGTCCTCCGTAACCAGAATCGATTACACCACGCTTTACAACCTTCTTTTCTGGAATATCTTCAGAAGAAGCATGTCCAGAAACAAGGAAAAGTACTCCAACAACCTTAAAACATTAAAAACCAAGAATTGTATAATTCTTTTTCAAATTTCGTGATAAAAATTCTTACCACAATAAGATTCATGTTGATTCCTATACAAGAAAACACCACTGTGTGATAATAAACTCAAAGGGTTAACGAGTATATATACTAAGAAGCTTTCTCCATTTGTAATTTAATATTTTCATTTACACAATGTCATATGAACGTGATGGAAATGAATACCGATGTAAAACTATATCTATGAGAGAGAGATTGTTGCCTACTAACTTTAAAAATTCAAACAAAAAGCAGTTTTCTCATTATATTGGGAAGCAAGTATAAAGAAAATGAATAATACAGGTGAAGAAGATTCCTTTGAGTTACTCAAGCGATTACGTCTTAACGCCACGAGATAACAATGAACTTTCTTTAAACGCTGACGATCGTTTAAAGTATGACCTATTACCATGGAACGACGACGGTCAACATGACCAGACCTTTGTATCTCGGCGTTCAAATGTCAAGAAGATCGATGTCGGTGCATGTTCTATTGAAAAACGACATAAATTCACTTCTTAACCCTGTGTTGAAATGAAAGAATAAAATAAGCTAATTAATTAAAAAAGGAAATATTAAATAAATTAAAAGAAAGTTCTTGGTTAAAAAGATAAGCGAAGACAAAATATCATAAATTGACATTGATTATAGGGATGACGCAACTGATATTAAAATTATTGTGTTATTTCTAGTTCCGGAAATGATCTTCAGATTAAATTCAGGTGAACGTATGGCTGGGGGCGAGGAAGAAGAGGAAAATACAATCTCCGCAGTGGGTAAAAGTAAGAGTTTTAGTTGCAAAAATAAAGAAATTGAAGTGAGCGCTTTCATTTTTCGATTCGTTAAATACAGATAGATGTAAACATTCAAACACCATTAAATTTATCTAAAACTTTATTTTCTCAATAAATCTTTTTTAAGCTTTGATAAAATTAATTTGTTTCAATAATTAATTACACCATATAAGTATATTGATCTAGATTCTAGAATTACAGGTAAAAAAGGAAAATGAAGAAATAGTTAAGACATCTCTTACAAGAGGGAGACTTTTAATAAATGTTGCGTATTATTAAATGTATTATTATTTATTTATGAGGTATTGTTTGTTCAATAAGAGCGTCCTGTATAATCTTGTATATAAGGTAAATCTTGCTGATATTGTCTGTAGTGTTAGTACCTAACAAAGATTATATTTCTATTCCTGAAAAGTTCTTCTTCAACCATAAGGCAATGTCTTGAATCAGATCATTCAATTCCTCTTGAATCAGTTTGTATCGTGTATACCACATAAATCTTGAGTAATTGCAGGAAGGATGTGTAAAGTTGTAAAGACCAGATTGTGATATACAGTGGTTAGCAAATATAGTGTACAGAACAATAGTAAGCACATTGATTATACTTGGCTGATTGAATTACTAAAACTATACAAGAAAAATGGCGAAGAGAAGAGTGCTGTTCTAGAGGGCACCTACATCTCCTTATGATCTCTTCCATCCAATGTCACATATATGAAAAAAGTATTGAATTAAAAAAAAAGGAATAAAGAGAGATTATCGATATCATATCTGGTGTAAATAGTTGACATCAAAGCTTATGCAATATATCAAGAGGAATTTTAAAAAGAACTGTCTTTCGGATTAAACCAATGTTGTATTAGAGTGATTAAGGGTGGAAAACTACTGGTGGATTAAGTACCGTGTCAAATGAAGAGATGAAGACTGAGAATTATGGAATAGAATTATAATAGTATTATAAATTGGACTAAAATGAAGATGGATGCTTTTAATTGAAAAATAAGAACTACAGCTTGCACCAACCTAAAGGTGTACAGAAAGAATGAAGATTGGAGATTGAGGAAATATTTTTACGAGATGACAGCCTCATGTTAATCTTGATGCAATCTAGTGAATGGCTCATACTAAAACAATTACACCCTGAGACATATAGGTATATGTGGCCAATATCTAATAGCTACTCGAAATTCACCGAAAGCATATAATAATCTAAATAATGATAAATACCGATAAATGATATGAGGTGCGGTAACGTGAAGAAGTGAAGAAAGTGTAGATCCGTTGATGGCTCAAAGATGTCGGTTAATCACTGGAAAGGTACCCTATCTTATCAGTAGTAAATGGCATGCAGGTAAAAAATCAATGTACTTAAACTGATTGTAGGGAATGTAATTTATAATTCATTGCAATTATTCCTAGGGTAGCTACAAGGAAGACATTCACGTATGAAAATCTCGGAAATAGATGGTGGCGAGTTCCTGCTAATTGCAAACCGTCAAAGTTGTTTCCTTGGAAAAAGAAGAATGGCTGAGATATAGCTGGATTAAATACAAAATAGACTGATTACAAGAAATGGGACATGAAGAGTAAAAGCATACTGGATATGGAAGAGAAAGAGAAATACAACCAAGGAAAAGCTGACTGTCATTATATTGTAAGGATAACAATCTCTCTGAAATCTTCACAATTTTGAGAAATACTGTGACCTGTCATCAAACTTGATGTTCCGAGTGTGACAGAGCGGTAATATCAATGACGCAAGGAGGATGGAAGAGGAAATTAAAGTATGTTTTTTACATCTAACTTTTTAACCATTACGCTGCATGAAGGCATTATGAAGTAAGTACTAGAAACCACCCAGAATGTTGTTTGTAGGTGATGATCCCAACGCAGGCACTAAAAGTTTAACGTATTTCCGAATGTTGGGTTTATATCTTTTGGAAAAGATCAAAAGTCCTTTTCACAGACTTTTTTCATCTAATTTCTTATTCCTTATTCCTAAATTGATGCCTAACATTCTGACTTTTCCTTGCTTTCGACATATTTCTAAATATTCAAACCCACAATAGAAATAAAAATGGTAAAGTGGTTTCGAATAAATAATTGGTGGAGATTTTTAAAAAGAAAGCAAAGGAAATTCAAAATTTTTTGATTCTTTATTAATGTTATTTTGATTTCTCTTCTACTTCTTTTTGGTATCTATACCTACTTATTCTAGATAAATAGTATAGTACTATTTTCCTATCGGCTTCTTCTGCTTTACGTTGGCAGCTATTGGCATCTTTCTGGTTTATGTTTAGCTTCTTTCTATTTCATTTCTTTGTCGTATTTAGGTTTAATTGTCATATTATTGTATTGCCATTAGATGAATATAAATGCAGATCGAACATCTTTCTGATTTCGTCAAACATTAATGCAGGATAAAAGGCAGAAATAGTCTTTCTTTACCTTCTCCGTTTTTGTATTGGTTTCTGCCTAATTTCTTCATGGCTTCCTTTCTCTCCTTTTTGGTATTCCTTAACAATTAAAACCCAGATTTTCAAGAATTTTGACTCTCTTGAGATATCCTTTTGTCACTTTTTAATAAGTCTTATTATATTTATACCGAGAAGAAAGTAGACAGGTAGACGATTGAAAGAAGTCAAAACAGTCCTGAAAGAAAGCAAAAGGAGTTAAGGCAACAAGTTTATTCCTTTCTTCAGCAATGGCAACCAAGGAAGTAAATTTCGCAGTCTTTTCAACCCGGAAAGAATCTTTACTATGATTAAAAAAACCGAGGTTCTATAACCAGAGGCGGAATATAGTATAGTATGTGATAGTGTAATTACAAGGCGTGTTAAAAAATAGATGTAATATTTTGTTTGTAATATCTAATAAACAAGCAATAATGTTAATAACAAATTAACCTTTAATTTAATAATCCGTTAAATTAGAATGTAATAAATATCATGCAAAGTTTCGAAAACAGTAAAAGTTCGAGACACATTTACAAAAAATTTCACTAAATTAAGGATATTGTTAATAAAAACGCAATGAAAGTAGAATACATTGAAATAAAATTCAAGTTATGTATAATAAAGCTGTTATATGGAATTCTGTAATTCAGAAAAATCATGTATACACTACTCGAAATTCTTATTGTCTTGTTTAAATATTAATTAATACCATTTAGTGTCTTATTAACAGTAATTTTGCAGAAAGCACACTCCCAAATAGAAAGTGGTATGAAAACAACGAATAACGTCCAATTAATAATTTCGTAGTAAAGCAACAAGAGCGGGTCTTAGAAATGGCCACGGACTCTCTAACTGTTCAAGGCGAAGGTCAATGGAACTATTGCACTTGCCGACAAGAATTCTACTTTCCATCTCCGCGTTGTACAGTGAAAGTCTTTCACTTCACGGTGCAGGGCGAGGTACCTATATAACTTAGCAGTATTTTTGTTCTATGGCCAAATCGTTTAGTTTCTGTGCGTCGAGAACATGAAAGTGCTACAAATTACGGTACGTTGTGAAGATTAAAAATAAAGGAATTTAGTGCGTGTGTTATGATTTAAATCTTCACTAATTATTTGTTGCAGATTTTCGTGGTGGTTTTCGCCGAAGGAATTTTAGGTCAATATGATAATCATAGAAATGCTTTCAATGCTCCAAAATCTATCGAAAGGGGATTTGCTCCAGTAAATTCTTATTTTGAAAAGGATTCTAGTTCATCTTCGAGTTATGAAAATCCGAGTTATGGACATCCTAATTCAAATTATCAACAACCCCCTCAAATCCTTTTTATGCCACAAGCTCAAGCTTTAACTGCCGAACCACCACAATATGGACCACCTCAAGTACCTGAAGCAATTTCAAATTATTTAGCCACCGTTGCTCAAAAATACGGTGGACCATCAACCCAAAATTTCCAAGATCCAACGAAACAAGGTCCTCAGGTATTTGTACCACCACAAATGCAAAAACAAAGTCCTTTCCAAGCTCCAGATCAATACCAATTTGTACCTCCGGACCTACAATCTTTCCAACAACCCACTCATCAATACCAACAAGCTCCAGTACAATTTAACCAACCTGAATTTGCGAATATACAACCAGCTGTTCCTCAATATCCACAAGATCAATACCAAAATCAACAATCTCACAATCAACAGCCTCAATTTCAAAATCAACAGTCTCAATACCAAAATCAACAGTCGCAATATCAAAATTCACAATCTTTATATTTAAATCAACAACCCAGTCAAGTCCAATATCAGAATCAACAACCCCAATATCCAAATCATCAACCGCAATATTCGCAAGAACAATCATCACAACCGATTCAAGTGTCCTATCAAAGGCCAGAAAATTTAGGCCACCTTCCCCCCATCACCAAAAATCCCAATGATATAGTAAACTCTGAGATGTATTCGGAAGGTGGTCAATCTCAAAATCGCGCACCACCCACAAAATATGTTAAAGGATCTCATTTCATTGATGTTGGAAACCTTGGGGAGTACAACGAATTTGGAAATGATTTCGAAGGTGGGTACAATCATTTCGGGGGATTCAATGGATTTGAAAGTGGAAAGTACGGAGGATTTGATGGCGGCAAGTTTGGAAGTTTTAGCAGCTTCGATAATTCTTTCGAAGATAGTCCAAGTAGTGCTTTGACATCTTTTAAATTAGGAACGAAACCAAAGGGTAACTTAAAATTATCAGGATCTGTGGGTTCCTCAAAAAGAACTCGGTACAACAGAGGAGGATCCATCGCAGGAATTAGACGCCCAACACGATTTGTCTTAAGTAGTTAAGATATTTCAAAGGAATTTTTCCTGTGATACAAAAAAATTCATTTTCTTTTTGTTATGCTTGTGTAATTTTTGTATTTATTTTTGTTTAATTTTTTAAGTTTTGATGTATTGTTGTTATAATAAAGTAAATGAAATTGGTTGATGATATTTGTTTATCTATAAGACTTTATCTCTTCAAATCAAGAAATTTATTCGATAACCTTCATGGTTTGCTGATTATCTGTTTCAATATACGTTGCAAATTTGCTGCAAATTATTTGGTTTTAACACATAGATGCGGTTATACGATTTCTATTCCGAGCCATCTGTTCATTAAACTTGTAGCTTTTTTTAATTAATTTGAGAAACTTTATTGGTTTAATAGCGTTGATAAAACGTTTTTAATCGTCTCGATGATTAAATAATAGTCGAAATACCAAGTAGAAGTGAAAGGGTTTGACAAATTTCCATGACTTGTTTTTATCTATGGTTACCCGACTTTTTAGTATTCAATTATTCACCGAGAGTGGGCTGTTCTATATAACTTTGTGGTCTATTGGAATCGTTATCAAATCTTGGTGTGAGTGCTTTTAAACAACATGGTGCTATTGTTTATGGTAATAAAAAGTAAAATTTTGTGTGATTTTTTTAAATTAAAGTGAAACTTGTTTTGTTGTTGTAGATTCTTTTCGTAATATTTTCCAACGTAGCGTTGGGTCAATATAACGATAAAGATGAGAATAAAAATCAAGCTAGTCCAAGTAAATACGGTGGTGAATTTTTAAAGGCGACGGACAAAAATGATGGTTATATCCAACAAACAAATCTTCCTAATTTTTTGTTTGTTTCGAATAACGATGAAAATCCAAATCCGGGTCCTCAAATGTTTATACCTCCGCAAATAGCAAGAATAAGTGAATTTCGTGCCCCAGATCAATTCAAATTTGTTCCTCCAGAAGACCAACAATATCGACCAAGACATATTGACCACCAACAACCTCCAGTACTTTTTGATCAACCCGAATTTGCAGTTATTGAACCTATTGTGCCGATAAGACCGCAATATCCGCATTATTTACGTGAAATCCTTAAACAACAAGGTTACATTATTGTTGAGCAAGAACAAGTACCCAGATTGCAAGTTGGAAAAGAAGACTCCGAAGAATTAATCGATGATAATCAATTACCGCCGATTACCAAAAATAATTTTAATAATTTTGGAAGAAACAGTCGATTTGATAACGGGGATGTTGAACTTATTTATGGCTCGAGTAAATTAGTTCCAAAAACGCTTTTAAAAGGGATTCGAAAGGTTCGAGGTGTTAGAAGGTTGAGATAAATTACTCAAATTTCTGTGATAAAGTTATTGTTGTATTTATTTATTTCGTGGAACAATAAAATGTTTTAATCTAAACCCAATCATCCCAAAATAAAGATTAAGTCTTAAAAACGAATACAAATGTAGCGTTTAATATCGATTTCACGGCACAGATTTCTATTTTACACGCTTAAAATGAACAACTTTTATTTATTTACTTTGGTTCATTAGAAATTATAAATTTATTGCGAATAAGATATTTAAGTAATAATAACTTAATTATTTTTAATTAGATTTTCACCAAATTATATGAATATCTTCATTAACACCGTTCTTTCTTTTATGAATCTTTTTAACTTTCCTATTAACTACCATTTTATCTTTTAATTTAATCACAATTGGAACGGAATTTGGCACAGAAAATTTAATTCTGTCTGAATCTGGATGCTTAAGTTGCTTTTGGTTGGAATAATCGTGATGTAAAGATGATTTTACTGGATGAAATTTTTGGGGTGAATCCAAATTATTTTGTTCTTCATTGTTTTGCTCAACTTGTTTATGATTATTAGATGATTGGTCTAAATTATTTTGGTTTCTATTAATAAAAAGTTGATTTGCTATAACATTCCCAACTGTTCTTTGTAACGTAGCTTGTGGAATCGCTACTGAAACAACAGCCATGTCATCTTGATTTAAAGGAATTTGAGCAGAAACTGCGTTAATTAATTCGTTAGTTATTTGATTGCTAATTTGATGGTTGAGGAGATTTGCGACTTGGTTGTTGACATTTGTTTGTTGACCAAATGTAACAAGTCTCGTTTGTACGTTACTTCCTGTATTATTATTTTTGGTGTAATTACGTGCATTTTCTTCATCAATATCTTTTAGTTTTGATAATAATTTGTCTTCGTATATTTGTTGAACTATGGATTCATCTAAATCTAATTCTAAGATGCCGAAAGATTCTGTTTGAAGATGTCTCTTTTTCATTTTATCTAGAGGTGTAGTATAAATAACATTGAGTAGGTATATGGCAATGAAACCCGCTGAGTACACCGACTGAAAGTAATAAAAAGAAAACTGGTTGGCAGATGGTAGAGGGCCATATAAGTTTACTTACCGGAGTTAACTGCATTTTTCCACGAATTGGTAGACACTGTGTTAGCGGAGATGGAATCTCTCGATATATAAGGCTTTTTTAGTTGTACCTTACTTTCGCCAATTTTCTATTTAAACTATGTGTTTAGTGGTAATTAAGAATAATTCTTTCATGCATACAAAAACAGGGGGAGGATACTGCGTTATTAATTGGATAAATTTTGTATCCCATTTAAGATAATTAAGAAGTCGCTTTAGTGCAAAAATAATATATTATTATTGGAATATGTAAATTTAGCATTTTTACAACAGCTTCTATCACAGTATTAAAAAACTACAGTAATTATAAACAAAATCATTTTCCAGTCTTCTTTTTAATGTTTTGATCCATATCCACCCCCGAATCCTCCTCCATTGCCTCCTCCAAATCCACCATCCCCATTTCCGCCTCCACCTCCTCCTCCATGTCCACCCCCGAATCCACCACCTCCTCCACCAAATCCACCTCCACCGCCTCCAAATCCTCCATTTCCTCCACCTCCTCCACCGAATCCGCCGCCACCTCCACCACCGCCTCCTCCTCCAACATACACTGGTTGAGGAACTGGTATTATAACAGTATTTGGAACTTTAACAGGAACTGGTTGTGGTACAACCACTTGATAGGGCTGAGGAACCGGAACATGGACCGGAACTTGAACTGGTACTTTGACTTGAGTGGGAACAGCAACATGTACTGTTCTTGTTACTGTAACTGGTACAGGTCTCGGAACCACGATGTGCTGTGCAACTGGTACTGCAACTGGTACAGGTCTTGGTATTGGAATGTGGATGTGTTGCGGTATTGGAACCGGAACTGGACGAGTTATGGTTACCGGTTGTGGAATAGGAACGGGTACATTTACAGTTTGGGTTACTTCGCTAATGGTAGCTCCACCACCGCCTCCACCACCTCCTCCTCCTCCTCCTCCTCCACCTCCAAATCCCCCATTTCCTCCAAATCCTCCTCCACCTCCTCCAAAACCTCCTCCACCTCCTCCGAATCCTCCTCCACCTCCTCCAAATCCACCTCCCCCAAATCCTCCACCCCCTCCTAATCCACCTCCACCATGTCCACCCCCACCAAATCCACCTCCATTTCCTCCAAATCCACCACCATTTCCTCCAAATCCCCCTCCACCCCCTCCATGGCCTCCACCAAAATCACCACCACCATTTCCTCCACCCCCTGACGAGATACCTCGTGGAATCCTCTTATTTGCTTCATCTTTCGAATAACCAATTTGACTTATAGTTAATATTAAAAATAAAACCTAATAAAAAATAACACAAAAAAAATTAATTAATATTACGTAATATAAAATTAACAATTTCCTATTTAAATAGAAAAGTACCTTTAATTTAATTTGTGGTTGCATCTTGAGGAATCTCACTTTCTTGTAATGACGATTTAGAAATGATAACCACAGCAGGAATTTCTCGGGTTTATATACCAAAAAGTTTTACAATTGTGAATAAACCCCAAAAATGAGGCTTTCACCCGTTTCTTTCTTTCGCCGATCGAATCTAACTTTTTGAATAAGTTTAGAACTAAGTGAATAATAAATGCAATTACGACAACTGCAGTTAAAAGCGTTCGATTTCGTAATGTCGGTAACGTTGACAAAGTAAATCGATTCATTCCTGTTTTAGAAATACTTTATAAAGGGATTCTTTGTTAACGTTAACGTCGATGTCGAGTTGTTATAAATAACCCAGATCGTTCGTAACGATAGTCAGAAAGTTAAATTTAGTCATTTGGTACAGATCATTAAATACGTTACATTTACATAAATTAAGCGGATTAAGGTTAATTATAACCAACATGTATTTTAATACTTTTCATTACTATTCGTTAATTATGAAATTGAATCCAAAAATCAAACTTTCATCCTTCATTAATATGCAAAAATGAATTGAAGAGATAAAAACAGATAAAAACAATTAAGTTTGGTTATATACAAAGTGAGGCCTTTAATAAATAAAAAAAGATTTAGAAAAAAGAAGATTTAATAGATTTCAGTAAACGTAAATTTGATTTACACCATAATCTAGCTCGGTGCTATACTCTTCGATTTAATAGTTTCTTAGTTTATGGTACAAAATTAGCTCAAAAAATCTTTATTAGAATATTGAGTACATTTGTCCTTCTTGAAGGCTACTTTCCTCTGCAGCTAATCTGTCTGATAATAAGCTTCTACAAGCTTCTTTAGTCTCATCGGTCATGGGGCACTTAGCACGTGCAATACAACGTGAATCCATTTCATGGCAAAATTCAAAAGACTTGCATTAGATAATATATAGTAAAGATAATATAGAGATATTAGAAGTATGAATGCAAGATGAATTATAGAGATATTATATCTCTATAATATATAATAAAGACTTGCATTATTTCCATAATGCTTGTGAGGCCGTCATTAAAATTGTAAATAGCAATATCGGAGGCAATCCAATCCCACTTTCTTGCTACTTTAGCTATTTTTAACAGTAAGGTCAAAATACCTAGATATATATAATCGAATAAAAAGAAAACATAAAGACGTTACAGTTAGTTTGGAATTTTCGACTAAGTGCGTTATAAAAATGAAGTTTTCAGACAGAAAAACGTTCCGCAAATATTTTCTGTCAATAAGTTCTCATTCTAGACAGTCTATAACATACTTCAAGTGCAAAAACAACCTTTTTTTTAATTCAAATGTCGCATACCTCCTTAACATTGAACAATACGATTGGATTAGAAATCCATTCATAGAATCACCAAGTAATGTTAATTGAAGATTAACAGAAGAAGAATAACAGGATGTATTCACTGATTGTGGATTGATGATTAAACAAAAGGAACTGCCTATTGATGTCTTTTGGTTTTCTTTAAAAGAAGAACATGAGACGATATCGCAAAAAGTATTGGAGATTTTACGTCAATTTTTAACTTCTTACTTGTGTGAGTTAGGATTTTCTACCTTCAAGACAATCAAGTCAAAAAAAGAGAGAAAAAGGATATGGATTCTCGGAGGGTAATAAAGTTGGGTCGTACGTGAGGGCGATGGCAAAAAGAACAAACAGAGTGATGGGTTGGGTTGGGTCAGGTTTAGGGATGGAGAGAGAGAGAACTTTTGGAAGGGATGTGGGAAAAAGAAAGGTTATGTTTAAGGGCCTGGTGAGGAGCGCATTGAGGTATGGCGCAGAAGTATGAGGGTGGAAGGAATAAGGATTGCTGGAGGATGCAGTAACAAGGTATTGGCGATGGGTACTAGGGTTGGCGAGGGAGACTCCAGGGTAACCTGTATATCCTGTATGCTGATCCTGGGAAAGTGCTGGAGGGAAATCAAGGAGAGAAGGTTGATATATGGGCAAGGAGATAGAGAAGGCTATTGTAGGAGACGATATTGATGATGTAGGAGAGTGGAATATTCACTAACTGGGATCGACAACAGAAGACTGGAGAGAATTGAGGGATAGGGACAAGGACATACAGAGACAGAAGAACTGCCAAGTATCTGATGATGGAAGCGGTCGATGTGGAAATGTGGATGGTGGTGTATGCTGTGTGGAGAAGATTGGGAGACGCTAGAACATATGTTGAGAGGGTGTAGCGAGCTGAGGGAGGAGGCGGTAGACAAGAGGTCGATTTTGGGAGAAGGGGTTGAGGGCAAGAGATGAATGAGGGAGGTGATTTGGGCGAAGAGCCGAGGGTATGAAGGTGGTGGAGGGTTTAGGTAAAAAATTCTAAATGAGAAAATTTAAAATTTTCAATGTTGATGAGGAGATAAGGGTTTCACTTTCAAACTTGTGCCCCAACATTGAAGAAATCGTTCAACATCAACTTCATGTTTCTCATAAACGTTGAAATTGTTATTAATATTAAGAAAAGTATTAACATAATTATGTATAGGTAACAAATTGTTATTATATAATCTGTACCACAATTATTTGTAGCACTATAAATGTGCCCTATTTTAAAAAGTTGGACAACTGCTCTAAAACCGTGTATCTTCACTTCGTGATCGTGAGACTACAACCTAAATAATTTAACGTAATCATTTGCCCAAGGTAATATTTTCTAAATAAAATTCCTTTCTTAACAATTGAAATAGTTATTTCGGCCTATTTCTTTAAATGACTATAATAAAGCCTTTGCAAAATATTTTTTATTACCGCTTCATTAAATATGTTCTATATTGTTGCAGTGTACAGTTGCAGCATACATAATAGATGTTAAGCAAAAAAAACTGTAACACTCCAGAAAATGTATGTTAGTCGAAATTAACCTAGTTTTAGAAACCATAGTAATTGTGAATTCCTCGAATTATATAGCGAGATTTAAACGCGTACACATCTTTAGAAATTTCTTAAAATTGTTTTCTAAAGCGGTGAGGATAACAAGTTATGTAATAATTTCATATATACAGATGATCCTTTTAACATGAGGCACTTGAAAATCAGTTCAACCCCAAAAATTACAAGAAACTTGTAGCCTTGCAGTAAGAAAAGCTGTGATTGATGCTGTTAATGGCAATTATGCAATTAGTACTAATTAAGACAGTGTTTTACAACATTACAGTTATTACAGACAATTAGTGAACCTATTCAGTTTACTGTTCCATACCCATTGACTTACCCTGTGTAAAGAAATATGTTTCAAATCATTAGAATGGGTACAAAAAATTTTCAAGTATAAAAAATACTATTTAACTTTGTAGAGTTTAACATAAACCGTTATTTATATCCTTGAACAATTTTTATTTTAAACAACTTTTTTCTCTATTGAATTTATCGTAATGAATAATAATACTTATAAGTCGTGATGTACAAATTAAAGGATTAAAAACAATGACTATTAATAAAACGTTTATATTTTCCTTTTCCATAACTTTATGTAATTATACAATATCGATACTTTTTTACATCCTTGGATAAAGTCGTGATGAAGTATTATTATCTATGATACATTTCTTAAGTAAATAATTGTTAATTATAAGTTACGGATCGGTGCTTATTCTCTAATTCTAATCTGCGAATGATAAATCAATGAGAACAATCGCCGATCCAAATCCGTTGCTTTCGCGTAAAAATATGTGAAAATGCAACAATGCAACACTTTTGTTCTCGCACCATTAATTATGTAAATAGGAAAGAGGTATTTTTTTCATAGAAAATGCGAAACGTGCAATAAAAGTTTGCGTACGATCTCACGTATTTGATCATGTAATTTTGAAAAGGTTACGAGGTTAAAAAACTGAAACAATTGTAAACTTATAATAGCTTTTTATTTTTAAATTATGTACAGGAGAATTAAATAATACGTTTTTTTCTGATCAATCATTTTTATAATACTTTCTTGGTATTACTGGATTGTTTCCTTTTTAGATTTCGACGACTAAAAACGTATCACATTGATGTTCTGGATGGAAAATTGGTCGTGATCATGGCTTAATTTTTTTTGGTATATAACTTTTGGAGTCTTATTAAGTTAATGTTTTCCAAAGGAGACTGAGGCATAGCTGCTGGCACCTCCTCCATGTCCACCTCCTAGTCCACCGCCGAAGCCTCCGTGTCCACCTCCTAATCCACCTCCGAAACCTCCATGTCCTCCACCTAATCCACCTCCAAGTCCACCTCCTAAACCTCCATGACCACCTCCGTATCCACCTCCGTATCCACCTCCTAATCCGCCTCCTAATCCACCTCCTAATCCTCCTCCTAATCCTCCACCAAGACCACCCCCGAATCCACCACCAAATCCAGCTCCTCCTCCAAATCCACCAGCACCACCTCCACCACCTCCACCAACGAAGATGGGTTGTGGTACTGGTACGACGACGGTGTTTGGTACTCTAACTGGAACTGGTTGTGGTACGGTTACTGGATAAGGCTGAGGAACTGGAATTTGCACAGGTACTTGAACTGGTACTTGAACCGGTTGTGGTACTGGAACTGCAACGGTTCTGGTGACAGTGACTGGAACTGGTCGTGGCACAACAACCGGTTGGGGTACTGGAACTGGTACTGCGACTGGGCGCGGTACAGCTACCGGAACCGGTTGTGGGACTGGTACTGCTACTGGGCGGGTTACTGTAACTGGTTGTGGAACCGGAACTGGCACATTAACGGCTGTGGTAACGGTACTGACTGTGGCACCACCTCCAGCACCACCACCAGCTCCACCGCCAAATCCACCAGCTCCTCCACCGAATCCTCCTCCGAAACCTCCACCGAATCCTCCCCCGAATCCTCCTCCTAATCCTCCTCCCAACCCTCCTCCTAATCCTCCTCCATATCCGCCCCCATATCCGCCTCCAATTCCGCCAGCCCCGAAGCCATGTCCACCTCCAAGACCTCCTCCAATTCCACCTCCTAGACCTCCATGGCCGCCATCTAAACCGCCAACGCCGTATCCGCTACTGATGATACCACGCTTTTCGGTTTTCTTTGCCTCTTCGGCGAAGGTCGCGCCGAATACGGCAAAGGCCAACATGGAAATCTTCAAAAATAGAACAGAAACATTAAAATCAATATCATCTCATTTTTCTTTCGTACTAATCGCCTTACCAGAAACGGCCTCATCTCTTGTGTTTGAATGAGGTGGTTTACTATACGATGTCAAAAGGTGTGTGATACCTTACCCCCAATGTCCAGCCGCTTTTATACACGGCCAACGGTTGGGTGTTGTAGATACAGGGATTTACTTTCACTAGGTTTGTGATCTTCACCGTACTACCACCTCCAGTATCTCGTGTGCGTTCGCATGTTTGTTCGTACGTTTGGTATACATGTAAATGCAAAATTATACTTTTTGATACCACGCCATAACACAATTTAGTGAAAATCAGTCTTGAATTAGAATCTATGAAAAAATAGAAGTATTCATTTAGAATTAGTTAATATTAAGGTGGTAAGGGCTTTTAAGTTTTTATATAAAGATGTGGAGATATCAATAATTGATTGAATGGAATTTTTTGATTAAAATGGAATAAAAAGGTGATGAAAATAATTTTGATTATTAAAATTGATTGTGAATATTTGGAATGTTATATGTATGTACTTATATATTATTTTATAATCTTAATGACCTTTCAAGTTTAACCACTGCATTTTAGATGGCGCTTAATGTATCGAATCTTATGCAGAAATGAGTCAAGAAATATTTTGAAAAAAGGATTTACGTAAGTTATTTACGATTCTTCCTGTTTTGGTAATATTTCTCAAAGATATTCTTCTTTCATTGCAAATAGTAACCATGTTATTCCTTTCAGTATGGACTTATATAGAAACTAGAAAAATACATTAACTCATCTAATAATATGACACAGAAAATGTTAAACTTTCTTAAATTTCTTGCCCTTATTTTTATGTTTTCTATTAAAATTAATTGGTTGCGGAAACTAAAATTATCTTTTATTAACAAAAAAACGATCTCTCCTTATATAATATTTCCATAAAAAAATAAAAACATCAACAAAAAAAAAATCAACTTTCTTTTTGTTTCATATTCATATAACAACAAAATAAACCTGCTCTACAAAACTAGTTGTGGAAAATGAAAATTGGAGCTAGACACTTTAAATACAGACATCGTAATAATTACATCCTTGCACATTCAAGATCTTAACTATACCCATTTTGTATTATATGTATGTGTGACAAGAGAGCTTGTGGCATTTTGTAATTTGTTGTTGATCGCCTGTGGATATTCGTGACAATCTCGCTATTGCCCACGTTCGTTTCGCAACCGGTCGTTTCGATTTGGATAATTGGAGCGAATTACCTTTAACGACCAAGCTAAATCTATTGTATCGATACAAAATCATTTAAATCAAGAGGTGATAATTTAATTTCGATAATCGCATTTTATTATTAAGTTTATTATTACGTTGTGGTTATGGTATCGAAAACCAATGGGAATTAACTCACGTTTTAATGGTGTTATTTGGTACTCGTAATATTTTGCAATCCATTCTGAGTGTAGTTATTTTAATAAGTATTGAGTGTACACTAAGTATTAGTAATAAACTTTTAAGTATTTTCTAAAGTAGGTCAGCGTAATTAGAGATGAAAAAAAATTCTTGCGATTAGTTGTTTTGTGTATTACATTTTAATCTTTAATTTAAAATGTATTTTTCAGCTTTGACATTAAAACATAAACTTTACAAAAAAAATCTGTTAATTACTTCTTTACTTCAGAATAATTTATTTCTCGCGGAACAACATCAAACGTAAATAACGAAATTCTTCGTCTCAACATTTCTCTTCAATTCCGCAAATTTCCTGTAAATTACACACGTATATAGTTATTGCCTCCTCAATACTTAGAATCTGTGGCTCGTAGACTCGGTTTCGCAATTCATCGTCGTCGTCGTTGTCACCGCAAAATGTCTTTGATAGTTTCAATATGCCGTTAATTGCGGAAATTTCATCCGTGTACGAGATCGGCATCTAACTACTCTCTTAAAGGGGCAGAACTCGACCGACACAACTAGAGCATATAATAGACGTTGGGTTTGCGTAAACATTTAATAATCGCCTGCATCAACTAGAAACGTTAACGGTTCCTGTGGCTCGATCTTAAGAATTTTTAAGACGTCTAAAAGAACAACATATGGCTTACGAGGCGAACCGCGAACGACGACATTAAAATAATTATCAACACAGTTTTCTCTACCAACTAGTAAGACTTATTTGTCACGTACAATTATTTACGGTATTGTTGTTGTCTTTGGGTTATGTAATTACCCGTTGGTACATTCAGGAAACTACCAAGAAAGACGATTCTGGATAATCCGGAAAATAAGAAATATTTTATAATGTGCTTGTTGAAACATTTTTGCTAGAACGGCTCAATTTTACGGTGTTGTTATTATAAGAAGACAAAGAAAATGTCAATGCTTTCAAAATTTATTTTTGGATGACTTTAAAATTATGTATGTCAGAGGTGATGATTGTTACTTTCCTTTCTGTTTATTGATGAAAGAAATCTATTGTATAAGATTTATGCGTTAGGTTGGGTTCGGTTTCATAATTTTTAGTGAAAGTATTGATTTTACCGGCGACTCCACCAAAAATTATTTTAAAAAATTATTAAATTAAATATTAGGTTTTACTAGAATACTTCTATCTACATTATTGATAGAGCAACACCATCAGAAGATGAGAAAGTTAAGCAAGTCTCTCTTAACTCTGTATTTTAACTGTATTCTCCACAATATAGTTAATTATGATGATAAATCGTAAGTTGAATTGCAGATTTTGTATTGTTATTGCTGAACGTTGTACTGGCAAGTTCAGATCTGGAAATGGTGCAATTATTGCTGTTATATACATAGATTTGAGTTTAGAGTCATATTTCTAAAATTATGTTCGAAACTTTACTGATAAAATAAGAAGAAGTTGCTCATACTCTTTCTTAACTCTAAGGACTGGTGCAAAATGAGACTCACATCCATGAGGCAACTTTGAAATAGGAATATTGATGAATATGTTGTCCTGCGTTCTCTTACCTAATCGAAGCGGTTGCAAAAAGTGTCAAAAATGGGAAGATATGAAACATGGATTGGATTAAATGCGTCTTTAATTGAATCTTCAAAATGTATCTTCTTTTCTGGCCCTGTTATACAATCAAATAAGGCAGTAAAACTATGAGTGGCTATAAAATTCAGGTTAGTGATGAAGTGTGAATAGGGATTAGGTGCTAAGGCCACTGGAACAATCTGTAAAGGGTTGTTTGTTAGAATTGTGTAGAATGAAGTTAGGATCTGGAGTCACCGTAATGGTAATACACAAAATGAGATGATAAACATTTCAATCCACTGTCTGATATTATAGGTTAAATCCTCACGGGTTGCCATGGTGTAATTGCGGTCGATATATACCGATTTTGAAGGATTGAGAAGTAAGGGCTGAGAGTAGATATTTATGGAGATTAGCAAAGGAAGTGAAATACGTATTAATGGGTTTGAGTTACTGGTTTTTTGTTATATTGAGGTTTAGCCTGCAAAAAAGTAGTTATTGTGATTGTGATCCCACATTATTTGCTGGTGAGGTTGTAATGAAAAATAATATTTTTAGATATTTGAAAGTATGGAGTATCCTGACGTAGTAACACTCTGGGAACCATGTAATAAATTGCTGGTCGTTGGAATAGGTGCTTAGCCTTACTGGAGGAGTTATGGGCACCATCAAAGTATTTTGATGAAGGTGAGTATCAACCCGGCATAAATGTTGATGCAAAATATCCGATGATGCAAATTCTCAGTCTTGAATGACATACATATTGGTTAAATACCTAACCCAACCCAACCAAGTACCTGTTGTGCAAATCATTAAGTTATAAGTTACTGACAGCATTTGCTAGCAGATCCTTCAAAAGATCACTTTGATATCAACGTCTGTAATGGTATATCATCTCTAAAAAATTATTCAGAATTTAAGAAATTGAATCAGAATTGGAACAAATACTTTACCACGTTTACTCAGATTAACACCGAGGCAAAATGGCAAATAATACTTGGGTGTCAATTGAGTGAAAAGAAGCCTTTGACGAGGTAGATCAGAAGTGAAGAAATAAAGTGTAGCCTATGATCAATGTAGCTGAAGAATCCAAGAATAACGGGATTGATATTCTAGATTATTTTTAGTAATTCAACAGATAAGACAGAAAAGAATCCGCGGATCAGTTTTGTTATTGTGTGTGGTTAAAATTGTAATCTAAAGAATAAGAAATGATATTGAATTATGATTTGCTGGTTTTGATGATTTGATTTGATGAAACCTTTGATGGTCCTAATATACGTTAACCCATCACAAAATTTTCAAGTACTTTTTCGATTATTTGGACTTAAATTTTTTGAATGGTTACTTAGATGTTGTGTTTCAAGACCTCGATCGTCTCTGGATGGTAAGCGTAACATTTATTCTTAACGGCTCCTTACAAAAAATAGTCCAACGGGCTCAAATCACAACTCCGAGACGGCCAACTAACATCAGATTTACGGCTGATTATTCGATTTTCGAAAATAGATATCAAAAGAGTAATTGTTACATTGGCTGTGTGGCAAGTAGCCACACGTCCTGTTGAAACTAAATGTCTCATCGACAGTGTCATCCTCTTCAATTTTTGGAAATAAATGTTTGTTGCCAAAATTTGCACCAAAGTCGTTTTAGGTGCATCGGCTTCTCAATGATGTCGTTTGGATTTTCTGAGCCGTAAATGCGAAAATTTTGCTTATTGACAAGACGTCCGATGTGGAAAAAAGCTTTATCTGAAAAGATGGTTTTTCGGTAAAAATGCTCATCTTCGGCCAAGCAATGTAGCCCATTGGGAGAACCAAAAACTCATCGGATGGTCATGTGGCTTCAGTTCTTGGGCTAATTAAATTTTGTAACCTTTCATACTAAGGTCTTTATGCAAAATATTCCTGACAGAAGTGCGAGAAATGTTCAGTTCCTGAGAGGTTGATGGATGTTTCTGTGTAAATTTCTTAGAGTTTGGGTTGAAGACCATTTTGGATGTAAGTTTTCAATATTTGCCATCTCCGTTCAGGTGTAAAGCTTCCCATTTGGCAAATGTCAAACATACAACTAATTTTCTGTCAATTCGTGAATGTCATTTACGAAAA